CTGGTTTGCACATGCGTGTCAAAAAAAGTTGGTTTTGCCCGCACGGGAGCGCCGGAAACAGGAAAGGCAGCTCCCTGGCGCACATGCTGAACTTCCGGTTTCTGATGCACGCATGCATGCTGGCCAGCTGGTTTTTGCGCATGCATGCGTGCCAGGAACCGTAAGAGCAGGGCATCCACACGGTGGAAACTGGAAGCTCAGCTTCCTGTTCTTCCAGTTTCCAACACTCCCGCGCGTGCGCGCCAGAGAGCTGCTCTTGTTTTAGATAGATAGATAGATAGATAGATAGATAGAGATAGATAGATAGATGATAGATTAGATAGATAGATGACAGATAGATTAGATAGATAGACGATAGATGATAGATAGATGATGGATGGATGGATAGATAGATAGATGATAGATAGATAGATAGATGATAGATTAGATAGATAGATGATAGACAGATAGATTAGATAGATAGATGATAGATAGATAGATAGATAGATGATAGACAGATAGATTAGATAAATAGATAGATAGATATAGTAGATAGATAGATTAGATAGATAGATGATATAGATGATAGATAGATAGATAGATGATAGATAGATAGATTAGATAGATAGATAGATAGATGATAGATAGATAGATGATAGACAGACAGATTAGATAAATAGATAGATAGATATAGATTAGATAGATAGATTAGATAGATAGATGATAGACAGATAGATTAGATAGATAGATGATAGATAGATAGATAGATGATAGACAGACAGATAGATTAGATAAATAGATAGATAGGTATAGATTAGATAGATAGATTAGATAGATAGATGATAGACAGATAGATTAGATAGATAGATGATAGATGATAGATAGATAGATGATAGACAGATAGATTAGATAAATAGATAGATAGATATAGATTAGATAGATAGATTAGATAGATAAATGATAGACAGATAGATTAGATAGATGATAGATAGATAGATAGATAGATAGATAGATAGATAGATAGATAGATACATAGATATAGAAGGAAGAAGATCCACAGATTTTGTTTTCCTTCCCTGATTACAGCTAGTCCTCAACTTATGACCTCAACAAACTGAGCCCGAAATGTATGCAACCAAGGGAGAAATGTGCGAAGCGAGTTTTGCCCCATTTTACGACTTGCCTTGTTAAGTGAAACACTGCGGTCCTTAATGGGGTTGTTAAGTGAATCCGGCATCCCAGATTGGCTTTGCTTGTCGGAAAGTCGCAAAAGGGGGTCGTATGACTTTGGAACACAGCGACGGTCGTAAGTATGAGCCAGCTGGTCTGGATTTTGATCAGGTAACCGCGGAGATGCTGCAAAGGTGAAAAAAGGCCGTGAGCTACTTTTTCCTGTGCCGTTGCAACTTCGAGCGGTCGCTAAACGAACTGTTGTAAGTCGAGGACTACCGATATAATTTTTCTCGCCTTTTTCCAAGCAACTGTCACGGCCTTTGAGATGACCTCAAGTGACTTCCGGGCTGCTCGGCTCACTGCCTGCTCCGGAATTACAATCCACGAAGCTTTTAAAAAGAAGCCAATGGTTTTCTGATCCTCTGCAGTATTTTGACGCCCAGGTTTTAAAACGCGCTTGCTAAACTCCACAATTTTGGCA